AATAGTGATTAATTACAATGAAATGTCTAATTATAATAATTATTGTGATAAATGAATACCGGAGCAACGCGGAGCACTTCAGTTTGATATTAATAAATTAAAATATACTTTCAATCAAATTGTAAATTTGATTACTTCATAATTTTTAATAATTTTTAATATGATTCATTACTTCGCATAAACACACAAGAAAGGGCTGTTATTGGGTTTGTATGGAGGAACTTTACGCAAAACCCGGGCAACACCAGATCCGCGAGCTAATAAATGATTGTGACAAATATTGATAGAGCAATGCCGGGCGTCTTAAGCTATTTACCAACATTTTTTACGTGCCAATTGTTCCTATTATTCTCTTCTCTGATGTTGAACTTCTGAACCGCTAATACATACGTGCCTTGAATGTAAATTTAGTAATCAATGACTAGAAGGATGCGTTTTTATTTATATAATATATTATCAAATTTATCGCCACTACACTCTTAATATAAAGGTTAATATAAAGAAAAATTATTACATTTGATTAAGATTTTTATTTCCCATTTATTGTTCATTGTATTTAATTTGGTTATTGCGTGTGGCGCAAGCTTAAAAATAAGCATAAACCCGTTTTCCGCAATTAACTAGAGAAGAAGAGTGTATTCGTATTGTCTCTTGATGAACCGATGCGCTCCGAAGTGGAGATTAGAATCGGAGGAAAACAAGAAAGAATCACATTGTCACGTGCATTCTCCGAGTAGTCGATAAGAATGTGTCGAAGATCGATGAAGAGGGAATCGCATCGATCTAAGAATAAAATCTGCATCCCAAGCGCAAATACTCTCCATGGAAAGTTCTCGAGATAATCTCTGAAAACGATACTAGCGCCTAAACCGTCCAGAATCATTTTTTCCAAAATATATGCACATATTCTATTTTCGATTTGGTTCAAAGACCCTGCGAATTTAAAATGGATTTTATAATTTTGACAGGCTTTTCAAAGTTAGTTTTAAATTATTCAGAATATAATAATGAGCAATCGGATAAAATTTTTAAAACAATATTGTACCTGCGTGAAAAATCTCAATTTTAGCTGAATTAAGGCCAGTTTAATATTTATTAGATGTTCTACACATAAAAGGGCTCGAAAAGCAAGTTTTTTTTTATTCGCCAAGTTCTTTCTCTTCAAGTAGGCACTTGTTGACAACTTATCACAGTTGTTACTGCTCCTGCATGACTAGTTGCAGCTTGGGAAGCGTACCGGGAGAAGTGGCTCAGGGCATCAACTCGTGTGACTGCGGTGCCTCTGACCGGGAGGTCCTAGATTCACGTTGCGACGGTGGCAGGATTATCGTCACTAGCTTGTTAGCTTAGTCATATTTATTCACTCTCTGGAGGAGAAATCTAGCTGCCGGCTACTCTGATCGGTAGTTCTCCGTGGTTTGTCTTATCAACCCCAGGCGAATGCCGGAGCAGTACCCTACCAAACGGGTCTCGGGCCACGGACCGCGCGCGATCTTTCCTTCCCCTTCCTTGTCTTATCCTCACCCCTTACTTACACACACACTAACATGTATTACACTACCACCCATGCCGGAGGACCGGTTAGTGACTGGGGCGGTACCCAGCCATTGGGAGAACCCCGCCAGCCGACGGTAGATCGGCACCCGATCTTACAACCCAGTGGGGAAATATCACCACCACCCCGGAAAAACATGTACTACACTTACGGTAAGAATGACGTTAACAGTTGAAGCGTCCGGAATCACTAACAATCAGTCAGTCAATCAATCATTGGGAAGCGTAGCTTTTGCTTGGTTTGTAGTAAAACCCTAGCATCAGATTTAGGGTTCTGAAATATATTGATGAACACACACACACACTAACTTCAACGATAAAATTCAATAGCATTGCTAAAAATGCTTCAACCTTTCTTTGGTTTAAACAAGCTACATCTTCCAGATGTCTCAAACTCATATTCCTTTTGTTTGAGGATCAATAGAAAAAACATCAGGATCAGATTAGTACTGTTTTATTGATATATTTCAAACCATACACCATGAAATTCACAGGTGCATAAGTAATTACTGCCAAACAATGTTTCAAATCAAATAGCGTTTTACATTACTTAATATCAAGAGGACATAAAATACAAAACCCAAAACACAGTACACATGTTTTTATTAAACATTTTGGAACATTGGTAACAAGCAAAATCGTTTGGAGTATTTACAGACACTTGACAGAGAGGTGACTCAGACACCACTTATATCATTATCCGTTGCGATAGCTTAGGAGCTACATATTTGCTTCTACAGCATCACTGACCTAGGGTTCGACGGTGACGACGTCAAATTCATAGTTATGGACACAAAAACTTTCAAATATTTTACTACTGGACAGAGAACTGCCCTTCAGGGTCGAATCAAACTGACTTAAGGTGGAAAATGGAGAAGATTGTGTATTTCGCTATGAAAATAACAGTATAATTCTCAACATGACTCGTGCATTATGGTGCAAAAACGGTGAAGAGTAGTTCCTAAGTACATGAGAGAGAATTAAAAACCCGATGAATCTTGACTTATGTTTCTTACGATGTTGGATATAAATGTAGTCCCTTTTGGACTTTCTGTTAGTACATGTTTAGTGGTTTACGACTTTTGAGTACACCAACTACGTAATAGAGATGGTTAGAAATGTTCAAAACTTGGAGATCTATGGAGAATTTTAATTAATTATTTAATTTTCTGTGCAATCTAAAAGTTTTAAGTATTTTCCTTAAGAGACCCTTAGTAATATTATATTTACCGAAGCCCAATACCTAACCTGTATGACGTAACTCACAGTTTAGAGTCTGACCATTCGAAGTCCTTATCTCTTTTTACAGAATGAAGCTGTTTCCCTTTTTGAACAATGATTTAGCAAGAGCAGAATGTTTTCAAGGCTCCAACTGGTCAGTACTTATGTAATTGGTTTGACAATGAGTAGATTATTAACGATGTTTAAGACCATTAATTTCTGGTATTAAAAGTCAAAGCTTTTGTGCATTTAAAGGCACACAGTTGGAGAGGTGATGAACTCAATCGGTTGCTTCATGAATATTTGAGTTTCTCAACACTATCGTGACATATCCTCGTTGTCTGTGTTAAGATAAAATGGCTGATATGGTTTTTCGTTTCAATATATTAATAATTTCTTACTTTTGTTTGTGACAGAAATGTAGAGATTTTGATAACCCGTCACACTGTTTGCAAAAATATGACGACTTTGGCAGATTAAAGAATCACATTAAAGGTGGTAGTAGGTCACCATTGCACTGAGAAAGTTTATGGAGGCGCACACCGAAATTTAGGACATTATTGCAAGAAACAAATTATTTAGAATTGTGCACTTGTAGGGTTATCTTCATCAAAAAATATATTAATACGTAGGATTCTTTCGAATCTTATTACAATTAAATAAATATACTAGTAAGAGTGCATCTATTCTGAGACTGTCCTGTGTTATTTATCTCTACATAATCTGTGCCTATTTTGAATCCACAACATGATCGTCCTTCACATGTAAAATTAAAGTTTATGTCCATTTGTGAGTTAAAATAGTCCGTAAGACAAATTGAACTTTTATGAAGTAAATAAACAGATATTGTGTTGTTCAGCGTTAAAATGAGAAGAAAAATCTATCCCCAAAAAGGCAGCATAGGGCCGGCAAGACATAGTATAGGTTACATTTGCACATACTGTAATAATAATATGTTTAGTGCTAAAACGTTTCTTTGGTACTGCACAGTAATTGCCAAAGAAGCACACTGAAACTATTAGGGATACGTTTTTTTGCCGCGAGATACGCGATTAAACTCAAATGACAAAATATAAGGGTAAGGCCACTCTACGCAGATTGTCTCATTTACTAGTAATGTTCGCGTGCTCTGCAAAGCTGCCGCGATAACACGTGATGCGTTGCCTGATGGTTACAGGGTCACGAAGCATTCAGGCGTTGTAACATCTCTGCTGCATTGCATAATATAAATCATTTGCTTTTGTGTTTATTCTTCGAACATCATATTAATGATTCGCCCAAATTTTAGAAAGAAGGCAAGCAGAGCTTAGCTCAATGCTGCTACAAAATTGCAATTTGTTTGTTAATTTGTTAATTTGTTTGAGTTTATTTACAAGCAACAATATTTCATACATCAAATAATAGCGTTGTTTGCTCTACAATGGGTTAGAAAAATGTATTAACTATCAGGGGAAAGTTAAAAATACATCGGCTTTCATCTTTTTTAGATAAATACGATTGATTTCTTTTGGTTTCTTGTAAATGACACGAGAGTTAACCACTATTGAAGTGGTAAATTATGTGCGTGAGATTATATAATCGAAATACTGTATAAAATGTAAATTCAGTAATGTATTTCTAACTGTTTCTGTTAATATATTTGAAATGTCAAGTGGTTCCAAACATTGTTTTTAATTAAGGTATTCTGTGGGTTTTGTGAAAAATAACAATCTGAGGACTCACCGCCTATTATCTGAGGACTCACCGCCTTGCACATCCTACAAACTCACTGAAATATACAACATACAGAAAGAGAGAGAGAGAGAGAGAGAGAGAAAGAAAGAAAGAAAGAAAGAAAGAAAGAAAGAAAGAGAGAGAGAAAGACAGAGGTATTTCTAATTCAGGTGCAAAATCTGCTTTTATATTACTTGAAATACGTTTTCAGACACATCTTTTTAAGTATTAATGGAATACAGAAGACGCTGTATATTATAATTACGATTAATGCCATAATTTGGCTTACGGATGTTATAACTCTTATAATGTTCGACCACGGCCGATATTACAACATTAAGAAAATTTCTTCTATTATAATCTGAATTTGTTTCATGTTTACATTATTTTAAAACGCATTTCCGCCACGCAGTTTTGAGCCCTCATGGGTTGCAACTCGCGAGAGACAAAGCAAATACTAGCGTGAAGAAATCACGTGTACTCGACCACCAAGAGCAATGACATCATTATTATTCGTACCCTCTTTCTATTCTTTCTGTGGTTTGACATTCTATTTTGTTATCTGCGGGTAGGTCCAAAACCATATCTGTAGTAACTTCGTTGAATTCGCTTTCTGGACAACCTATAAGTTCTCTTCCATTATTCGGTGTGACTTGTTCTGTATCCAAGACTTTCAGTTCCTCCACATCACATTCTTTGTCTACATACAAAACCACTGTTGTAGTAATCTCGTTGAATCCGCTTTCTGAACAATCCTTATTTTCTTTTTCAACATTTGCTATGTCGTGTTCTGCTTCCAAGGTATATTCCTTGTTCCGTTCCTCCGCATCACGTTCTTTAGAATCAGTTTTACCATCATCCTCTTCCAGATCTAAATGTACTATGCAATCCTCTTCTTTTCCATCAGTGTCTTCATTGTGTACTACGGAATCTGCTAGGTATTTTTCCGAGGGTTGAGTCTCTTTCAATCGCTCGTCCTGCTGCTGTAACTTCTTTCTTCTCTTCATCAAGGCGGCGTGCATAGCTTCTCCGAGGAATGCCGCGGTGGCGGCCATGAGCCCGGAGGCCAACAGAATATAGGCCTCCAGGAAGTGAATCAGCACCAGAGGCTTGGGGCTGTCCGCTAAGACGTCGTCCACAAATCCTGGCAGCTCGAGGCTGACCGAGAAGTTTCTCAGGCCTTCCCGAGTCAGCCGCTGGACCACTCCCCCGTCAACCAACCGCTGCACCAACGCGCTGTACCTGTGATGCACAAGCACGCAATTCAACTCTATATAAAACTACACGCACATTGGAGTACCAACATGATGGGAGAGCAGTTCATGCGAGAACTTAGAGCTCGTACTGGCTCGTCGTCGCTCGTCCAGTAAAATGGAAATGTGGAAATGTAAATTGGAAAGCGAATTTACAAGTAAACGGAGAAGGAATTGAATGAGAAAAAAAGAGAGTGAACTGAATTGGAAGAGGAGAACAGAGAGATAACTAAAAGTGGTGCGGAGGGATGAAAGACGCAACTGATATATGTGAAGGACGTGACGGACATGGGAAGGCATTGGAGAGAGATGCGATTCTGCTAGTGATGTCGGGTAATAGGTAACTGGAGAGACGGAAGAGATAGAGAAATAAAATGAGAGGATGATTTTGATTAATAGAACAGAGAGAATTAGAAGGAAAGAAAGAAAGATAGAAGGAAATTCAGAGAAAGAAGAGGAACTGGAATGTGGAATTCAGTAAGACTTAAAAGGATGAATTGAGAGACCTGGACGGGAGAATGGAGAAATAACTGGAAGGAAGAATGAAGGAAAATGGCACTGGAAGGGGAGAGAACAGAACGGGCAGAGCCCAAGAAGGATAGCCCAAGAGAAATGGGCCAAGAGGGCTAGCTCAAGAAAGTTTGCCCGAGAGATAAGAGGTGGCCCAAGAGGGCGGTCAAGATGGAGAGCACAAGAGGAAGGACGTAAGAGGGAGACAAATACTGGGTAGGTCATGGAGGGGAGGCCCAAATGAGAGACCCAAGAGGGATATTTCAAGAGGGGGATGAAGAGAGAGGACCCAAGACGGGTGCCCGAAAAGAAGTGCCCAAGAGGCAGTCCCGAAGGGGGAGTGCCCAAGGGAGAGTACCCAAGAGGGAGTGCCCAAGAGGGGTGCCCGAAAAGGAGTGCCCAAGAGGCAGTGCCCAAGGGGGAGTGCCCAAGAGGGAGTGCCCAAGAGTGAGTGCCCAAGAGTGAGTGCCAAAGAGGGAGTGCCAAAGAGGGAGTGCCAAAGAGGGAGTGCCAAAGAGGGAGTGCCAAAGAAGGAGTGCTCAAAAGGAAGTGTCGAAAAGCGAAGGGTGAAGAGGACGCCCAAGCGGGTTTACCGAGGCACCTGGCCCTTACGCACCTGTGCACCAGCGGCCAGCCCTTGCGCACCGGGAAGGACAAGTAGGCGGGGCTCACCACGCACTCGGGCACCTTCCGGAGCGGCGACACGCCGTCCTGCAGCACCTCTTTCATGCGGCGCGCCGACTCCAGCGTGGACTCGGTGTCCATGACGGCGGCGCGCCCCGACAGGATCTCCTCCGTGTCGAACTTGAACTCGCTCAGTTTGGCCAATAGGCGCACGGAGCTGATGTCCACGTCCTTGAAATCGGCCACGACGCGCGGCATGGCCACCACTTTGTCCACTGCGCGGTCAACCTGCCGAGGAGAGCGCGGCCTGGTGAAAGGTTTTCTCTCTCATTTGCTCCATCTCGCTCTCTAACGGCCGCTCTATTTCGCCACCCTCTGCCACCATATCTACCACCCTCTCTACCTATGTCTCTCGTGCTTTTATTCTCTCTCTCGTTCACATACCCTCTCTCTCTCTCTCTCACTTTCGGTCTATCACCCTCGCTCCCTCACCCCCTGTGTGTGTCTCTCTCTCTTTCTCTCTTACGTCCGGTATCTCACCTCCTCTCTCTCACCTTCGCTATCTCATCCTCGCTTTATCACCCTCGCTTTATTTATCACCCTCACTCTCTCACTTTCGCTTAATCATCCTCGCTCTCTATTCCTCACTCTCTCGCCCCCGCTATATCACCCTCGCTATCTCATTCTCGCTCTCATACCCTCTCTCACTCACCCTAAGTCTCTCACCCTCGCTGTCCATCTCTGTCTCTCTCCCTCTCCCTCTCTCCCTCTCTCTCTCTCTCTCTCTCTCTCTCTCTCCTTCAAGAAATATATTTTTAGCCTGCTACTAGTAAAAGCGGTTCTTTTTTAGTCCTAGTGTTCTAGAAGGGTTCAACTTTTAGCACTAGTGCTAAAAGTGAACGATGCTTAAGTGTTTAGGTAAATCTGTGAGTGCAGCAAACAAGACAAAACAAAAAACGTACGTTTGACCACATCAGCTACTACTAACCTTAATGTATCATCTAGTAATTTGTATTCTTGAATTGAAATAAAATAAAAAGCCAGAAAGGCTGTCAAAAAATAGCGTATGACACACGCGCGAAAAGTGATTTTCTTTAGCTCTTAAGATTGAGACACTCAGCTGCGTGTCACAAACTTTCTTATTTGCAAAAGAAAATGTCACTTTTACCACGAGTATCTGAAACAACTATTCTTGGAGTGGCAGTACTGATTCGCCATTTTTAACTAAACTCATTTGTTTCAATTGTTGTTGACAATTGAAAAACCGACGCTGGTTTTTCGGTTGCGCGAAGTAGCTCAACCAGAAACAGTATTACGGGAACGTGTTCGGGCTGATAACCTCACCTCGCCGAGTGTGTTGAGCTCTGTCCCGCGGCGGGGCACGGAGAAGTAGCTATTGAAGATGCCCGAGAAGGCGTTGAGCAGCACCAAGCCGAGCGCCGTGCACCACACCATGAGGCGGCGACTGCGTGTGGCATGGGCGCCCGTCACCAGCGCTTGCGCCGTCTCCACCCACGCGTCCCCCCACCGCGCCGACCACCCGCCCCTGCCAACACACGCGCCGGATACTTATTAACGTAACTAGTGCGGAAATGGGTCTTTGCCGTACGGACGAAGTGAACGGACCGGGCAACGAAAAGATTTGGACGCTGGTTTTTCGCTCCTCTTTTTTGTTGCATGAGGTCGCAGTACCAGACACAGTATCACGGAAATGTGGTCGGGCTGATAACCTCACCTTGTCAATCGTGTTGAGCTAGTTATTAACGTAACTAGTGCGAAAAATGGGTCTTTGGCATACGGACTAAATGTTGACCGGGCAACGAAAGAGACGAGGTGTTTTGAAATGAGTACCCCCAAACACTTTCGTTCGAGTTGAGTATGTGATGTGGTCGAGTGGATTCATGGAAATTAACAAAATAACTCGTGGATGCATTGTCAATAAGCAAGAAGTTATGTCTCCTTGTATTTGTTTACTTTGCAGTATTCCAGTTGTTTTAAAATAACCAAGACATCTTTGCGGTACGCATAAGGCATAGCCTATTTAAAATTCGGGAATCTGAGTTTCTTCACAACGTAAGGTATTCAAAGTTCTAAAATATATTATGAAATTTATTATATTGTCATGAAATAATAAGTGTTTATGTATTATTTATGTAGGAGAATAGTTGGGAGACTTAGGAGAATAATTGTATCAAAAATTCAAAATCTAAGAAACATCCAATACTTAAGATTATACTCGTAATATTAAACTCTATGTTTTTGAAGACCTGCTGATGGAAGCAAACACGGGGAAACGATGTTGTTTCCCATTGTGTAATCAAGAAACATGAAGCAATTGTAAACTTATAATAGTTTATGATATATATTAATATAATTCAATAATTGTCTAAACACCCTAGGTAATTTACTCATTAGATATTCAAAGTCTATTTAGTTATGAAGAAACAGCGGAGTAACACTGTCCTCTGAATAAACAGTGAAGTTAAGTCTAGTTTCAATTCATGAAAGCTGAAAAAGTTATTTATGCCCCATGGGCGTTACAGGAGTTCTAAAGATTAAGTGGAGGTAAAATTTCGGGGTGGCCTGAAGATTTGTTGTTGCCCGAAACCATTTCAATCAGTTAACACATGATTTCATTTTTTAATCTAATTTTAACGATTCAAATTTACTAATTAACCAGATGTTGACTTGACTTTGTATGTCTTTTCATATTTACTTCTCATAATCCCTTCCATCAGAGCATGTAACATCGATTTACTTCGTATTTTCCTCGTAACCACGATCCAAGTAAGTTAGTCAGAGTGTATCGAGTTCCGCACCGAAGACAACAATAAGCATAAAATATTAGTAAAAAATAAACACTTTTTAAAGTATTTTGACCGATTGTGGAGAGGGTGAGCGGCGAGGGCGTACTAGAGCGCCGCAGTGAAGATGGCGCAGAAGAGCAGGGTGACCGCCCACACCGGCGGCTCGAAGGCGTCCACGATGCTGCGCCTCACCCACCCTGCGCGCCGGACCATCACGCACAGGTCGTCCCTGCGCAGGTTTGTTTATTTATTTATTTATTTATTTATTTATTTATTTATTTATTTATTTATTTATTGATTTATTGATTTATTGATTTATTTATTGATTTATTGATTTATTGATTTGTTTGTTTGTTTGTTTGCGTCAGAAAAGTTAAAAACTGTGTGTGACGTGCTATGAGGAGAAGTTAATTTAAAGTTACATTTATTAACGTTAAGACTTGACTTTAACGTTAATATTTGAGTTGCCTACGACTGTTATGAGAATATATGATGAGCAACTAATCAAAACGCATATTGTTCACCGGTGGTAAAAATTGAGTTTGACACGAAATCGTGTGGTTTTTAATACGTACTACAGGATCTGCATTCAGAAATCTTCAAAACACATTTAATTTAATGTGTTAAATTGCGCTTTGAAGAAATCTGGATGAAGAGAATGGTTGTTAATGTCCATAGAAATTGAAATCATTACGTTTACAAAATATGTAAACATACTATATTAACTTACATAACGAGTTTTCAAGAACAGGCTTTATGAATTTAAACTTCATTCGTGAAATAGTCCTATTAAAATCTACTCGTGCTTTGGAAATTCGCAGAGAAATTCTTATATTTATTGAATATTTCCAAAGCACTCGTGGTATCACATCCACTATTGACTCCTCCACCCTGAAATGAAATCCATGACTATTCCATCCTGAAATTAAATCCAATAGTCTACAAATAGTATGCACTAAGCGTTGAGTCTCAAAACCTTCTTCGTTTTTTTCTCTCGGATTTTTCTTGCCGTTCCTCTCAACTGTTCAATCATAAGTCGTAACCCATCTCTCTTACAACGACATATACCATGCCGTTGTCTGCTCATTCATTTGTTTATCTCGATTTTGATTGTATATCAACCGCACGGTTGAATATATGCCATCTTCTCTACTAGCAGACACCCGAGGTTTGAACTAAGACGAATAATGAAAACTAAGTTGAATGTGTAATGATATCGTTTTTTTGCAACTTTAAGTGTCTGATAATGTTTAAGTTGTTTATTGCATTGATACTGTGATTGTTTTTGAGTAAATCGACCGTCTGTTATAGGGGAACGTTCGGTTTTTCAACATTTGTTACGAGAACTAAAACTTTAACACTTATAAACGAGTTGCACTACGTTGTTGTATTTTATTTTAAACGAGCATTATTAGTGTTTATTAAGGAGAATCAGACTATATTGCTTGCGGATAACAACTCTGTTGACGGGTTCAGGTGTTTTGAACATGTCGCGAGAATTCGTCGCGTTTTCGCGTAAAGTCGATTGCGTCTGTAAGATTTTATTGTTTTGATTAAATTCTAACAAATTCTGTTAATATTAGAACATTATACATAACAATTATTTAGTATATATTGCAATAATGAAGAAAACGTTACTTTTTATTTCCAATAATTGGCTTTGTTGTGGTAATTTTGAAGAGAGCTTCTTCTTAGACGTCACTACAGAGGGCATGCTCATTAATGTATTCCAAAGTTCATTATTTCCAAATAAATGACAGCAAACAAAATCTAGATGTGTATGTACGTATTTTATTACTGAAGAAACCTCCATGAATAGAAAGCGAGGGGAAATGGCGTTTATAAACAAATATACAGTTTGAATCGCACGGCCGTAGATTGCCGGGCATCAAAAAATTAGGTGACCTGTCAGCGTCTGTAGATTCTACGAGCAGCGACCTGAGTGAGTTAATGATTTCACCTAATATTTTTACTTTCTCGCCTTACGACGTCCTTTGTAAGAAGAGAAAGCTGCACAATCGCGCGCCGAAACACGACGAATGGTTGGAAGCGATCCGGCGCCTCACCTGGCATGCGGGTAGAGGAAGTCGACCTGCTGGAGCCGCTCGGGTCGCGGGTTCATGCCGGAGCCGTAGAAATCGATGGCGCCGGTGAGCAGGCTGCAGTAGTGGCGCGGGTAGGTGCAGTTGCCCGCAAACAGCCCAACGTCCCAGCAGCCGCCCCCGTGTGCCCGCAGATGCGCTCAGTTCTGCGTCGCGCCACCGAACGAATTCCACTCCTGTTCCTGGCCCCGCCCCCGCCCCCAGGCCCGACACCCCACCCCCCACCCCCAACCCCCAGTGATCCTCGAAACCGCCGCCGCCGAATCCTTTGTCACCTGACAAGAACGTCACAAGATCAAAGTTATTGCCTACACCTTTTCAAGCCCTTTCAAATTGAGACTTGACACAAAGAAAGAGCACAGTAACATACCTCTGAAATTTGGATACTACTTAACCAAGCTCTGAAAAAGAGAACTAATAGTGTTGAAAACAGTTTTTTTGGAGAAGATGCTATGGAGTCACGCTGCTTGATCACGTAAAAACAGAGACGATAAAATGGTGATTAAATGTAGTAGAATGCTTAAGTGAATTTGAAAGACGTAACATGACATAGAAAGAAATCTGCGCATGCGCCGGCTTCCAATAACGAGATTTCAATTGACGGATCCCGTCATTCTTCCTGATTTGTCGTTTACGACTTACACTTTACGTAGTTTTCGTCGCCACCACTAAACACATATTCGACACTAATACAATAAGAATGGAAATAATGAAAATTACAATATCCATATTACCAATATAATACAGCAGGAACGTCACGGATATTTTTACTCATGTTAATTCAAATACGTAAGGAATAAGCTAACGTATAACTATAGGATTTGTAGGTTATGTGTACATTGAGGCTACATTGACTGTCAAAAACAAATAGTTGTTTATCTATAGGATGATATTATTGCCACAATTTTCTATTACTAATATAAAAAATATAAAAATCTTGTAGTAAAATTGGTGGGTTACATTCTAAGGCTTTCTAAGATGCTTCTATTTTACTTTGGAGATAAACACGTGTATTATACATATTCGTATGATACAATGAGATTTAATGTTTTATAAATATGAACTATGTAATGCAAAAATAGAGTCCGACGATTCGCAGATGTTCAATAAAATCTTTCAGGTACTGTTAGAGGTTTTCAGTTCCAACTACTTCCTAGTTTTAAGTACGTTTTCGATTGTACCTCTTGCAAAAACTCATTTTCCGGAGATACGTTATTTCCTATTGACGACGATGATCACGAACAACGGCATTGGATCTCCCATTTTGCGAAAACTCTCTCATGTTTTTTGATTCCAGGTATGTTAACTACAGAGGTTATTAATCACGTGAGTGTAGCGCATGAAACATCCAGGTGGTGGCGGTCCTCGTTAGAACGTGGGAACCTGTGCCGACCTGCCGTCGGCTTGCTGATCATTTCCTTCTCCAGGTCTCACCACCAGCGGATCTTCGTCTCACCTGCAACAAGATACAAGCTCCCGTCTGGTCTCCTGATATGTGTGATAGAGCGAGTAGGACATGAAGAAGTGTGTGTGTGTGTGTGTCTGTGTGTGTGTGTGAAGAAAATAGAGAACAAGGATGAAAAATGAAAGATCGCAGAAAGTACATAACCCGTTTGTGGGGATACTGTTCCACTACTCTCCTACGAGTAGTATTGATCAGAGAAACCACGGAAAACTACCAAGTAGAGCAGACGACCCACATGTTTCTCTTTCCAGGCAGTGACATTGTTCGGCCCAGCATATGCAGCCAACTGAAAATAGAAAGGCATCGAGACATCGTATTAGGGCAACCGTCCTGTAGAATTCTCGTCGAGGCAGTCATTTTCAGGCCCAGTTTTTATGACCCAATGTAATCGAACAGAGGAGGCCATGGAGATGAACGATCAAAGCATTCGGCCCCGAGAAGCTTCCTCCAGAAAGGAGCATCGTCCTACGCACTTCAATGGTACGTATATACTGATGCCTCACGTCTCCTGGACCTGGCATTGGTGTTCGCATATTAGGGTGATTGATTAAATAGTGATTACGGGCACGTTCAAGACTGCTAGTCCCGTCTGCGGCACTGCTGATAGAGCATCAAATGATATTCCTGTAAGTGTAGTACATACTTTTTCGGAGGGGACTCCCCTTCCGGGTTTGGCTTTGTCGATTTGCGGGGTTTTCTCAAACCAGATATCTCTCACTAGCGGTTCATCGACCCAACCGGAAAAAGCCCTACGCTCCCAACTGATCTCCCGGTATATGTGGTAGTGTAGTGCATGTAAGTAAAGGGTGAAGATAGGACAAGGGAGGAGAAAGAAAGATGGCGCGCGATGCGTGACCCGTTTGTTAGGGTACTACTCCGGCATTCGCCTGCTGTTGATGGAACAAACCAGGGAAAACTACCGATCAGAGCAACCGATCGCTAGATTTCTCTTCCAGACAGCGGCTGAACTCGATCTAGCTGTGCAGCTAGCGTCGGAAATTCTGCCACAGTCTGGTCTCGAACACTGGGACCTCCAGGTCAGAGGCACTGATTGATGCCTTGAGCCACCGAAGCTGGAGGTTGTGCAAGGGTTGGTACCTGTCCAGTCGGGGCAGTTGGTGTGCTCGATGGGGGAGTCGACGAAGAGCAAGTCCATCCCGAAGAGCACGTTGTGGCGGACGGGGGGCGGCGGGGATTCGGGACTGCCCAGAAGAGGGTTCCGGCCACTTACGCCCCCATACATAGCCAGCTGCAGCCACGCTCCCAGCAGGCCATACCTGCAGATGGCAACCAGAAATACTCACCCTGACCTCTCACTCTCTCTCACTCTCTGATTCTTTCTCTCACTCTTTCTCTCACTTTCTCTCACTCTTTCTCTCACTCTTTCTCTCACACTCTCACTCTCTCTCACTCTCTCACTCTCACTCTCTCTCACTCTCTCTCACTCTCACTCTCTCTCACTCTTTCTCTCACTCTCTCTCACACTCTCTCTCTCACTCTCTCTATCTCACTCTCACTCTCTCACTCGCAATAACATACTATAATATACTGTGTCAGGAAAGTCTCTCCGCACTCAGTGGAGTCACGGCCTTCTGTTAAAAATTGAATTTATGTTGGTAGCAGCCCGATCTCTGGGAAACAGATGAAGGAATCAACTGTTATGAATAAACG